AGAAGACATGATTACTATACTGTACAGTACTGCATGAAGAAGACATGATTACTGTACAGTACAGTACTGTATGAAGAAGACATGATTACTATACTGTACAGTACTGCATGAAGAAGACATGATTACTGTACAGTACAGTACTGTATGAGGAAGACATGATTACTGTACAGTACAGTACTGTATGAAGAAGACATGATTACTATACAGTACAGTACTGTATGAAGAAGACATGATTACTATACTGTACAGTACTGTATGAAGAAGACATGATTACTATACTGTACAGTACTGCATGAAGAAGACATGATTACTGTACAGTACAGTACTGTATGAAGAAGACATGATTACTATACAGTACAGTACTGTATGAAGAAGACATGATTACTATACAGTACAGTACTGTATGAAGAAGACATGATTACTGTACAGTACAGTACTGTATGAAGAAGACATGATTACTGTACAGTACAGTACTGTATGAAGAAGACATGATTACTATACAGTACAGTACTGTATGAAGAAGACATGATTACTATACTGTACAGTACTGCATGAAGAAGACATGACAGTACTGCATGAAGAAGACATGATTACTGTACAGTACAGTACTGTATGAAGAAGACATGATTACTGTACAGTACAGTACTGTATGAAGAAGACATGATTACTATACAGTACAGTACTGTATGAAGAAGACATGATTACTATACTGTACAATACTGTATGAAGAAGACATGATTACTGTACAGTACTGTATGAACAAGACATGATTACTATACTGTACAGTACTGCATGAAGAAGACATGATTACTGTACAGTACAGTACTGTATGAAGAAGACATGATTACTATACAGTACAGTACTGTATGAAGAAGACATGATTACTATACAGTACAGTACTGTATGAAGAAGACATGATTACTATACTGTACAATACTGTATGAAGAAGACATGATTACTGTACAGTACTGTATGAAGAAGACATGATTACTATACTGTACAGTACTGCATGAAGAAGACATGATTACTGTACAGTACAGTACTGTATGAAGAAGACATGATTACTATACAGTACAGTACTGTATGAAGAAGACATGATTACTATACAGTACAGTACTGTATGAAGAAGACATGATTACTATACTGTACAGTACTGCATGAAGAAGACATGATTACTGTACAGTACAGTACTGTATGAAGAAGACATGATTACTGTACAGTACTGCAGTATGAGAAGACATGATTACTGTACAGTACAGTACATGATATGAAGTAATGAAGAAGACATGATTACTGTACAGTACAGTACTGTATGAAGAAGACATGATTAATATACTGTACAGTACTGTATGAAGAAGACATGATTACTATACTGTACAGTACTGTATGAAGAAGACATGATTACTGTACATGAAGAAGACATGATTACTATACAGTACAGTACTGTATAAAGAAGACATGATCACTGTACAGTACGGTACTGTATAAAGAAGACATGATTACTATACTGTACAGTACTGTATGAAGACATGATTACTATACTGTACAGTACTGTATGAAGAAGACATGATTACTATACTGTACAGTACTGTATGAAGAAGACATGATTACTATACTGTACAGTACTGTATGAAGAAGACATGATTACTGTACAGTACTGTATGAACAAGACATGATTACTATACAGTACAGTACTGTATGAAGAAGTCATGATTACTATACAGTACTGTATGAAGAAGACATGATTACTATACTGTACAGTACTGTATGAAGAAGACATGATTACTATACTGTACAGTACTGTATGAAGACATGATTACTATACTGTACAGTACTGTATGAAGAAGACATGATCACTATACTGTACAGTACTGTATGAAGAAGACATGATTACTGTACAGTACTGTATGAACAAGACATGATTACTGTACAGTACTGTATGAAGAAGACATGATCACTATACTGTACAGTACTGTATGAAGAAGACATGATTACTGTACAGTACTGTATGAAGAAGACATGATTACTATACTGTACAGTACTGTATGAAGAAGACATGATTACTATACTGTACAGTACTGTATGAAGACATGATTACTATACTGTACAGTACTGTATGAAGAAGACATGATTAGTGTACAGTACTGTATGAACAAGACATAATTACTATACAGTACAGTACTGTATGAAGAAGACATGATTACTGTACAGTACTGTATGAACAAGACATACTTACTATACTGTACAGTACTGTATGAAGAAGACATGATTACTGTACAGTACTGTATGAACAAGACATAATTACTATACTGTACAGTATTGTATGAAGAAGAAATGATCACTATACTGTACAGTACTGTATGAAGAAGACATGATTACTGTACAGTACTGTATGAACAAGACATAATTACTATACTGTACAGTATTGTATGAAGAAGAAATGATCACTATACTGTAACAGTACTGTATGAAGAAGACATGATTACTGTACAGTACTGTATGAACAAGACATAATTACTGTACTGTACAGTACTGTATGAAGAAGACATGATTACTGTACAGTACTGTATGAAGACATAATTACTATACTGTACAGTATTGTATGAAGAAGAAATGATCACTATACTGTACAGTACTGTATGAAGAAGACATGATTACTGTACAGTACTGTATGAAGAAGACATAATTACTATACTGTACAGTATTGTATGAAGAAGAAATGATCACTATACTGTACAGTACTGTATGAAGAAGACATGATTACTGTACAGTACTGTATGAACAAGACATAATTACTATACTGTACAGTATTGTATGAAGAAGAAATGATCACTATACTGTACAGTACTGTGTGAAGAAGACATAATTACTATACTGTACAGTACTGTATGAAGAAGACATGATTACTGTACAGTACTGTATGAACAAGACATAATTACTATACAGTACAATACTGTATGAAGAAGACATGATTACTATACTGTACAGTACTGTATGAAGAAGACATGATTACTGTACAGTACTGTATGAACAAGACATAATTACTATACAGTACAATACTGTATGAAGAAGACATGATTACTATACTGTACAGTACTGTATGAAGAAGACATGATTACTGTACAGTACTGTATGAACAAGACATGATTACTATACAGTAGAGTACTGTATGAACAAGACATGATTACTATACAGTACAGTACTGTATGAAGACATGATTACTATACAGTACAGTACTGTATGAAGAAGACATGATTACTATACTGTACGGTACTGTATGAAGAAGACATGATTACTGTACAGTACTGTATGAACAAGACATAATTACTATACAGTACAATACTGTATGAAGAAGACATGATTACTATACTGTACAGTACTGTATGAAGAAGACATGATTACTATACTGTACAGTACTGTATGAAGAAGACATGATTACTATACAGTACAGTACTGTATGAAGAAGACATGATTACTATACTGTACAGTACTGTATGAAGAAGACATGATTACTATACTGTACAGTACTGTATGAAGAAGACATGATCACTATACAGTACAGTACTGTATGAAGAAGACATGATTACTATACTGTACAGTACTGTATGAAGAAGACATGATTACTATACAGTACAGTACAGTATGAAGAAGACATGATTACTATACTGTACAGTACTGTATGAAGAAGACATGATCACTATACAGTACAGTACTGTATGAAGAAGACATGATTACTATACTGTACAGTACTGTATGAAGAAGACATGATTACTATACAGTACAGTACTGTATGAAGAAGACATGATCACTATACTGTACAGTACTGTATGAAGAGGACATGATTACTATACAGTACAGTACTGCATGAAGAAGACATGATTACTATACTGTACAGTACTGTATGAAGACATGATTACTATACTGTACAGTACTGTATGAAGAAGACATGATTACTATACTGTACAGTACTGTATGAAGAAGACATGATTACTATACTGTACAGTAATATATGAAGAAGACATGATCACTATACTGTACAGTACTGTATGAAGAAGACATGATCACTATACAGTACAGTACTGTATGAAGAAGACATGATCACTATACTGTACAGTACTGTATGAAGAAGACATGATTACTATACAGTACAGTAGTGTATGAAGAAGAATGATCACTATACTGTACAGTATTGTATGAAGAAGACATGATCACTATACTGTACAGTACTGTATGAAGAAGACATGATCACTATATGGTACAGTACTGTATGAAGAGGCCATGATTACTATATAGTACAGCACAGTACAATACAGGACAGGACAGGACAGGACAGGACTGGACTGGACTGTACATGGTTGGACTAACTTTTTAAAGATCTTCCTCGCATTTTCCTTTAAAAATATTTCATATATTAAAGCATTTTTGTGTTCCTCACTTTGTGTTCGTATGAAGGCATTACTTTATTCATTAATTAGTACAAACCCTAGATGAAGACCACAGGGTCAGGTTAAAGTCCTCAAAATATGTCAAATTATTAATATACTGTACAGTATAACTCACCTTAAAACATTAGGTTCCTTTACTGGGATGCGTTACTTAGGCTAGGCTCATTTAATTTCTATGCTGTTTGAATTTAATAGTTTTTTCTTTGTTGGTTTTTCAAATAACTTTTGAGGCCCAGTGGCCAATGCTGTGTGGCCGGTGCTCTACAGTGACACGACAAGATCTGAACAAAATACATCAGAAATCAAACATCTCATGAAAAAATTGGATGGTTTGTTACAAGGAATAATTACCACTGTTGATAATGACCCCAAGATCTACCTCAACATAAAACCTTTTATTTTATGTTTTTCTCGAGTTGTTGGTAAGACTTTTATAGAGAACACACCAGTAACATGATGGTCCTTAATAACCTATCTAAACAGTCACCATGGTTAGGTCAGGCTCATAACCCATACCTAAGAACAGGAAAACTAACATTAACACAGCTTGCTCACCTGTCCTCCAGAGATGTAAAAGGATAGTTGCAGGAGTCAAGGATATTCAGTGTTTCTCTAAACTCCTGGTCACTCTGCAGGTACAGTCGCAAGCTCTCTGGCCATGTCAGGGCATCAATGAAGTACAGGATGACGTTGATGGAGTCTTTCTGATCAAGAGGACCAAAATGTGTCTGCTGTGAGTCTTCTTCTCTGATGAGAGCTTTCAGCAGTGCCATGTGTACCTCCGCCAGTAGCGAACTCTGCTCCTCTGCCATCAGTGCAGCACAAAACTCCTCAAACCTCATCGGTGAAAGGCGGACCAGGGTTCTGAAGTGCCGCAACACTTCGTATATACCCACGGCCCGCAGAACATAAGCGTGAGGAAGCAGGAGGTCATCAGACGACTTAGGCAGCTCTAAAGCCGGGTACTGGCGGTCCTGAAGCCACACTGGCACCGGAGTCTGCGGCCTGGAGCCAAAAAACAACTTGCCAGGGGTGCCGCCATTAGTACTGAAGCTGGATATGGAAGCCTCTCCATCAGACATACCAGCTTCATCCTCTTCATCCAACTCAATGTCATTGTCACTAAGACTCTTAAAGTCGCTCTCCTCCTTCTCTGAGAGATCCTCCAGTTCAAAGTCAGAGCCGTACAGGTACTCTGACTCCTTATCGTCAATATCTGGGTTATAGCCTCTCTTGTTTTTACTTTTACCACTGTTGTATGAGCCGCTTCTCTCCTCACTCACAGACTCATGGGACCTAGAGGGCGAGCACGACCTCGAATGGTTACTCTCCTCCTCCTGCTCCATTAAGTATCTTGGCTTTTTAATTACTCTAGTTATACTATTTCTCATTTTCATTTCAGAACCATAGCTTAGCACGGGCGTAGAGCGAGGCCGCCCTCTTTTTCTCTTTCTTTCGGACATTGTAGGTGGTGTCCAGGGGCCAGGCCACCTGTACCCTGCCCGCTGGATCTGCTGATCACCGTAAACACAAACAAACCAACACGACTGACATCTCTCGCATCGTCTTCAAATTATCCCAAACCTCGGCGCCATTTTTCATTGCAAGGTCACGTGACCTACCTCATCTTTCTCTTATTTGATCTCTTCATGGCCGCCTTAACACTCTCATTTACACAAAACTAACATAAGTTTTCACTTATGAAGAAGAATATTTAGTGAATACGGTATATATGTGATAGCAGACGAGGCAACGCTTTGTTTCCCGGGAAATACACCACAGCCGTCTGCCATGGCTTCACAAACAACAATTGTGTCGACCATCCTGGTTGGTCGCCGTCGGCCCCCGCCATGACAACTACCATTTTCATATATTTTGTTTATCGAAAACAGAGATGACATATCGTCCATTATATGATATCACTGTGTTCTTTTTTAGATAGATTATCATTTATGTAGGTATCAGAAAACAGTAAACAGAGAAAATTATTATGTACGAAAAGTAAAGGCAGACGCTATTCTCAGCTTCCACCAATAGGAAGGAAGCTTATGAATCGCTTAGGCAACAGGTTGTGTTATGACATTACCCATTTATTTCAACTGAGTTAAAAGGTGTTCAACTTTGAACTGCATTATCCATTATAAAAATTTGAATACATTTTTTTTGAAGTTTTGTGTCAAATGAAGATGTTTAAGAGTTTTTCACGTGTCATTAGTGCCTCTGATACCAATCCCTGACAACAGTGAAGGACTCCGCGTTGACCATTTGAAGAAAAACAAGTGGTGAGTATTATGATAATATTTACAATTTTCTCCAGTGAACTGTATAAGAATTTAAAAGTTGGTCACTCTTAGTTTATTTTCTCAATTATGATAAACTTCTCTAATTCGTTTTAGTTGCAATAATAAACTCTTTAATTCTAATAAAGAGACACATGTTACACATATAAACGATTAGATTCCTTATAGGCCAGGAGGTTGTGGTGTTTATAGTAAAATATATATATATACTTGATGTTTCGATAATGACTTTTTCCTGGGCCTCAAACCGCGAACTTGAGATGTTACTAGATGATGATGTTTATTCCTTATTTGTAATAAACGTTTATCCATAATCTTAATTTATATATTAACAAATTATTTGAAAATTATTTAACAATAAGAATAATCGTAATGACTATGATGAAAGAAATATTATAGAAGTATTATTATCAATATTAGTAGTAGTACTGTATTAGTAGTAGCAATAGTAGTGTAGGGGTATCGAGATATTAATGTTGTCTAGCAATCAGGATGGAAGGAAACTCTAATGTGGTTTTCTTGTATAATATAAGTTATATGATAGACAGTCTGGTGCTGGAGATGCCGTGTGGTGGGGAGCTGCTCAGTAGAAGACGTTCGGTGAGTAGCGTGTTGAAGGAGGTAGATGTGCAGGAGCTTTGTTAGAGAAGATGTTGCCTGTTGCTGGCCTCCTGGTTGAATGAATGCTGGACAGCTGGGAGGAGGTGTTGCGTGTTCAGGAAGATGGGCCAGAATGAGAGTTGGTTGGTGAGGAAGCTCAGAGAAGGACAGCTGGTGGGTCGCCATGCTCGCTGGCGGGAGCGAGGACTAACTTTAATCTGAGGTATTATTTAATACAAAATGTTAAAATTTATTTTTTTCACCCAACCTTTCTCTTGAAGAGAGGATTGGTGGGGGGTGGGGGGGAGGGTTGGGACTGACCGTGCGGTTGAAAGAGGGGGGAGGCAAGGTGGGGTACTTTGATTGACAGATAGTGTCGTGAAGAATATTTTTTTTTTATTAACTGAAGATATTTGTTTTAGCTCATAAAATTCATACAAATTACCCGGCCAGATTATAATTTACATTGCTGGAATTCTTACAGTTTGGTGATCATTTTGAATATAAACATCATATATTTTGCATTAGACATACAAATTTTAGATAAAATGTTTTCTCTGAGTAAATATGTTATCTTTTGTGCAAAATATATGACATTTATATTCAAAATATTCCTGGTCTTACAAGGAATCCAGCAATGTCAATTGTATTATCCTAACTTTAGTTTGAGGTATTATTTATTAAAATTTAGTGGTTTTCCCCCAAAAATTTCTCAGAGAGGGAAGAGCCAGCAGTGTAGTGTGAGAAGAGGGGGAGGGAGTTGAGTCCATTATTTGAATGGACATTAATTTGGCGACTGTATTTCTCTATTTCTCTTAAGTATTAATTGTGTGCATGTACCATCATAAAATTAAGATGTTATTTTTACTACAACATAGTTATGTGTCGTCAAAAAGTGGAGTTTGGGGGTCGGGCCGGTTTCTATTGGAATTAATCCCATATGTTCTGTTGTTCACTTAACGCGGTTTTCACTTAATGCGGTACCCTCTGGGTTTTATTGACCGCGTTAAGTGGGGTACAACTGTACTTCATTTTTAGTAAATATAACACGCGGACTTTGAACATATAATCAACGACCTCACCAGCCGCGTGTTATGTGGACTAAAAATGAAGTATATATATGGTACCTCGTGTTTCATACCAGCTGGATTCGGTAAAATGCTACTGACACCACATACGAGGCACGGGCAGTTCCCAATGAGGTTCACGGCGCCATCAGCTCGATGAACAGGCTTTGTGTGAAATATAACAGAGTACAGGACTGTATATATATATATATATATATATATATATATATATATATATATATATATATATATATATATATATATATATATATATATATATATATGTATATATATATATATATATATATATACTGTACCTGTATATATAAAATATATATAAGTAGTCGATTAGCGTTTAGGTGTGGTAACCCACGATGCTCAAATTATGAGGTTTAATAGTTGGGTGAGTCGAGGCGGGGGGGGGAAGCTAGTTGCGGAATTGGAACTCGTAAACGTATGGTGTTGTTTAATGCAAGTTATGGAACATTTCAGTATCTTCAAACGGGTTTTCACGCTTTTAATAGGCCTTATGTAATCCACCAATAAGGATTACAACAGCACACAGTATGGCTGCAATTGGTAAGAAAAATAAAATATAAGTGGCAAAATTTGTGCCCTGCGTAATTTTTACAACCCACCTCACACATAAAGTAAACCGAAAAATGCTTATGTGTATAGAAGATTTTCAACTCAATATCACATATTCTTTCACCTCTAGAAATATCTGCTGTCACTCATGGGACACCCTGCAATAGTATAAGGACGACATGGGCTATGCTGACAAATTAATGTGACTTACCTGTTGGTGACGACGATGGTAGGAATGAGACCTTGTAGGGTTACGTGATGTTATGTTGTCTAGCACTCAGGATGGATGGATGGAAACTCTAGGTGGTGGTTTTCTTATATAAAATATATTATATACAAGACAGTCTGGTGATGGAGATGCCGTGTGGCGAGAAGCTTGGTCAAGAGACACGTTTAGTGAGTAGCGTGCTTGAGGAGGTATCTGTGCAGGAGCTTCGTTAGAGGAGATGTTGCGTGTTGCTGTCCTCCAGGTTGAATGAGAGCTGGAGGACAGCGAAGAGCTTGCTCGGAGGAGGTGTTGCGTGTTCAGGAACGTAGGGTAGAATGAATCTCAATGGAGACTGAGAGCTAGTACTTGCCAACAGTGTAACAGAGAGCCAGTACTTGCCAACAATGTGTAACAGAGAGCCAGTACGTGACAACAGAGAGTAACAGAGCCAGTACTTGACAACAGAGAGTAGCAGAGAGCCAGTACATGCCAACAGTATGTCAAAGAGATGTGACTGACTGCCCAACCAACTAGACAGCCAACCAATGGCAAAAAGAATAAGCAAGAAAATATTATACAGTACCAGTTGGCTTGGGGAATGTTACAATAGGATTCAGTATACAAGTTAAGCCTTCAATTCCTTATTCTCTGGTAATGATCCTTCGAGAGGGCCTTTTATGGGGTAAATCTATTCATTCTCTCGCCTTGAATTTGATTCATTTCACTTTAATTTATCTTTTTACCAGTTGCAGCTTACTAGCCATTAGGATTGGTTGGTCTATCCAGTGTTAGTACAGTACAGGAGGAAATTGGAGTACCCAGAGGAAACCTGTGATGTTTGGTAGTGAGGATCAAGCTGGACAATGCCCTTCTTGTATGTGTCCAGTGTCACAGTCTGAGATTACACCGTGCAGAAAAATATTCTGTGCATGTGCTCTACGATCAAAACCTCATCGGAGAAGGGGATGCTGAGATTACCCCTTAAGAGTAATGAAATGTTTGGCGAGAGAGGATTTTGTGATAATTACTCATTTATTGTTGACATTTTCTGATTAAATGGAATACATTAATAACAAGTTTACATTAGTAGTTGTGGATTGTTGCTGACAAAAACTATACGTCACGTATCTCCCTCCACCTTTGGAGATAAACCCACAAATGTGAAAATAACTACAGTACAGTACAGTACTTTACTTTACTTTAGTAGCACTGACTAATTCCTGTTCATTTTGGGTATTTTTTTCATGTGTTAAATAGGAACCAGCTTCAGTAATTTTTCTAGCAAACTGTCACTTAAAACCTGTATTGACAGTGCAACAACCAGCACAATTCACAGTAACTAGAAAAAGTAAAAAACTCATGTTTAGTGTAGATAATAACATGTTAGTGGTACAGTGGTAACAATCGTATCCCTCACCAATATGTCATGGGTTCGAGCCTCGGCCAGGACACACGTGAGCGAGTGTTGTCCAGTGTGACCCTCGCTACCAAACATCACTGCAGGTCTCCCGGTCTCCTCCTGTACTAACACTGGATAGACCAACCACTTGAACAGCTAGTACATGTACAGTAAATGATAAAACAAAAATTATTGTTAGGTAATGTCTGTTCATTTTTAACAAACGATTCCAGAATGGATGAAACTGTATCTGCTGCATCATCTTTGAATAGAGCTCAAAGATTAAATCTGTAAAGGGAGAAAATGAAGATACTGGGAACATACTCGTACATGGAGACCGGTAAGACTTCATGTACAGTACAGGACCTGTATGGGCAAAAATGAATGTAGGAACATAAGAAATTTGGCCAAGACCCACATACAGGATACTGTACTAGAAGATTGCAGTAAGTACACTATCAATATACAGTACAGTATATACCGGTGCTGTATATATGTATTGGGTAAAGATTTGGAAAAGGTCAACCACAGAACTCTCTATTGATTTGTATATCGAAAGATAGAGCCCCCCCTGCCCCTCCCCCCAAATACTCTAGCATTTTTTTGGAAATTTATATTTTTGATCACACAAAGTGGGCAGGGCTTTGAAGTTGAGGGAAATTGTGGGGTAAAAACATGCAAAAAACAAAACATAACCCAATTATTCTACAGAAAACTTTAGAGAGTGTAATGTCTAAGGACAGGTGTCTGGGTTAAGGACCTAGGTCAGGATACTTTTCAATAGAACAAAAGTTCTTCAGTAAAAGAACATCTCCAAAAATGGTGGAGGGAATAAATTTTTGCAAAAAAAAAAAAAAAAAAAAATCAAGAACCTAATTTAAAAACTTAATATCAGTACAGTACAGTATACCTATCTACTAGAGAAACCATTAGGACCTGACCTAACCTCCTATCCAGGGCCTCCTGTGTGTAAACCTAACCTAACCCAAGAGGACAAAAGAAAAGATAAAGGAACCTGAAGAACCAAACCAGATTCTTGTTGTAATGATTTTGGCAAGACTCAACCTAATAGTGAAGTACCTGTTCAGTATAGTGTTGTACATATGAACACTGTATTGTGTGGTCCTCAGAGTGTAGGTGTGGTCAAGTATGGTCCTCAGAGTGTAGGTGTGGTCATCAAGAGTGTTGGTGTGGTGTGTGGTCATTAAGTACGGTACACAAGATGTGGTCGTCATCAGCCACACCTTACTGTAAATTAAGTAAACTTTCACTCACCTGTTCGTTAGTGTCTCTCAGGTGAACTCTATGCCATCGTCCATCACATTGACTTAAACACAACTTCGTATTTTTCTACACTGCTTCATTTTCCGGATCAATGAAGTTTTTTTAAGACTCCTTTTTAACTGACAGCAACAGCATGTGTTGGGAACTTGGGTGATCTTTTAGGTTGACATCTTGCGTTGCTATTGGTTACCAATACCGTGTCATGTAACAGCGACTACAGTATATTGTTGTTTAATCTTAAAGAATATTACAAATGAATAGAATAATTAATATAGTAATTAAGTATTTTTATATTAGTTATAGTATATACTCTAAATAAACATGAAAATATTACTTATTCAATACAAAATTCACAATAATGAAAGCAGTATGTAACCAAGACAGGCTACTTTGGTTCCCTGCTGTCAAGTGATCATTAGTTGACACAGGTATACATTGAGACAAGATTGTTCAGTAAATTTAACATTGTGACAAAACGAAAACAACTTTTGGCCAACATTATAAACTACAGTACATGAAAAATACTACCGGTAAGTACAAGAATGTTTATTATTAACCACAACAACCATAAGATGTCCTAAAGGAATAGATATAAAAATAAACAAATAAAATACATGTAAGCAAATAACTCCCATGAAACATTATATCAGTTAAAAAACAAAAAACATTAGAGTTATTTAATAAGGTGCAATTAAGTTCAGCTGTGAACTGAGACGAGAAAACTGTTTAAGAGAATTGTTAACAACTATATTATTCCCCAGATGAATGCACAGAGAAACCTTTGCATAGTACAGTACACTTGTAAACCTTCCAAACACAGTCTGTTATCACCCGTCTCTACCTGTCTTGTTTACTCCTGTTACGATGCCTCATTTTTTCTTTATGTATCACATCACTTTCCATCCTAATATATAAAGCTTTAACAATGGCTCAAAAAGAGAGCAATAAATGTAGCCGTCATTGTTTGGGGAAGTCTGCCGTCCAACATGTACATAATAATAACTAAATTCACCAGTCACCTCCACTGTCTCCTCTAAAAGAAATCATTAATAGCTGACACAGTGTTGATGGAGTCATAATACTTATTTCAGGATAATCTTAGAACTTGTGATTACTGTGGAGATGAGGGGAGCTAACCAGAGGAAAGAGATTAATGTTCATTAGTCACTTATTGAAGAAGACTGACATTCATTGGTCACTTTATTGTAGCGCATCTGTCGTCAGCCAATCACAACAGACTTCACATCCTCTGTACATCTTGCCCAGGTTCATGTGTAGAGAAGCCAGGACTGCAATTTGTTTATATAATCATGAGCTCATTTGAGCAGCACAGATGACTGTCATATAACAGATGTAATATAAAACACTATACTGTACATATATGATGTTCTAACACTCAATTATCCTCCTGTTTTTTCTCATTCACTTAAGTAAGTCTTTAGACTTTACTTGAGGAAATAAAACAATTATATAAAAGATGAAAGTTTAATTTAGTGTATAATCTACCCATACAGAAAGTATACAAAATGTCATCATCTACCTCTATCAAGAATACAAAAGCAAATATATAAACAAGATTATTCATTCATTCTTCATACCAAAATTCTATTCACAAAGCCATTTTTCCCTTAAAGTTTTCTGCATAACAAAAGCAAAGGCAAAATTAACCTTTCGCTGGAAATATATTAATCCAAACCATATATCTTCCTCATACAATAAGTTACCAAACATCACATTATTAAAGCGTACAGTACAGTAGTTGACAAGTCACTTAAAGTGCTATTCCTGTCACACAAACTTCATTCTTTAAAGCATCAATTCAGTGCTGGTTAAAGGAAAGTATAAAAGTACTTAAAATAACAAACAAATCAGAGTAATGCACTGTCATGAAGTGTGGTTATAAAGCGTTACAATCTGTTCATAAAATATTGAATATATTAGATGTAAAAATTGGAACTTATATTAAAGATAAAAAACATCATATTTAATAACAATAGAAATCTTTTTCCTGTCTACACATACAGTAAACCATAAACAATGTCAAGTAATGATCGGTTCCTTTGCAGCAGAAAGTACAAATTATTAGTTAAGCAATTACTATCTTCTTCCCCAAGATGGGGGATCATCACGTAAGTAGATAATAAAAGTCTCGGATAAAGCTTTATATTTTTCCCAAATACTTTATAAAAGTAATTTTGTTATTCATTAGGCAAGGATAAAAGAACAAAATTATTATCATCATTACAAAAGACAAAGTCATCTATGTAATCATATACTGTACACATCTCATTTACAATGCAAATGTAATTTTGTCTATTTCAAATAGGAAAGAATCTAGAACACTCGGACTCGGCTTAGTTTTGCGTCAATTTCCTCAATAACACCGTCAATGCGCTCACTAACACCTTTGAAGGTTGATGGCTCAGGGCCGATCATCTTGATAAGGGCTGGCACCTCAGTAGAGGAGTAGCAGAATCTGTGAATTAAGAATACAATAATATGAATGGAGCAGAAGAACAGTATTGTACCAGTACAAATTATATTTATATAATGATGTTTTTTCATTACTTGAGGGAGCATAAGTATGTCATAATGTCTGTTCAGCATCAATGTTTCTTCCTGTATCCATCAGGTCATCTCCTTCATGGACACCCACCACCCAGTTTGGGAAACCTTTCCCCTCCCTTTGAGGAGGGAAGGAAGGTGGGCCAAGCTCCCCTCTGGTATGGCTCACCGGATCATCAAGACTTGCAAGCACCCTTACCGCAGCAAGATGGCTCCCACTGGGGGAGGGGGGGTGAAATACAACTGAACTTCTAAAAATTTTACATTAGTTATGAGATTGTTTGTTTGGATCTAGAAAGGCAACAGAGGCAGAGAAACTGGAACTTGAAAAAGTGTGTTCTTAGACCCTTAGTGGATCAGGGGGCACCCTGGTTTGATCATTGGGGGAACAGCTCAAGAAGATTAATAACCACTGCTGTAATATGAAGCATAATACTGGCTGTTAACTACTGTACCAAGACAACGCATGTACGCACGCACGCACGCGCACACACACACACACACACATAGAGCTCTGAAGCTGTACAAATAAAAATAGGATAAAACAGTGAGACATAGGTACAGCATATCAGGTTGTGCACCACGCACCTGCAGAGAGCAGTCATTGTACGCCACAAGAGCTCCTCTGGAGGGTGACTGTTGAAGAACTGAAGGATTGCCATGGCCAGCTCAGGGGCAACATCATCAAACACAACTGTCTTCACCTCTTTAGTTCCCAGGTTGTACATAATGGCTGATCCATACTCTTGCACCTATATCGATAAAAGTGTAACTCATCTATTCACATGAAAATACAGTAAATATAACATTGTATATATACAAAGTGTCAGTACTAGTAAAAAACAGTTAACTATATTATTAGATCAAAGACTTGACTGAGATATCCTAAGTTTCAAGATTACTTCAGACACTAATGCTAACCTTAGCATTGGAATGAAGGAGGGCATTGACTGCCACCTTTGTAGTAACACGGATGTTGCTGGCTTGCTGATTTCCGTCATGCCACTCACTGATGTACAGCAGCCACTCTGAAGGACTCGGGTGCTCAAACATATTACAGAACTGAAAGAATATTTTATTTGTAACATTTATCAAAATACTGTACAGATTCAGTACAGGGGGTCCCCCACTTACAAATGCCCGCTGATATGAACGGGGTTAAACTTGAAATTGACAATATTTTATTTACCCGATAATTTTTTTTCTTTCATTTACTGTATTTTGTCATTCTATTTCTTCTTTTCTCTTAAATTAAGTGATTTTAGATGTATATAAGGACTTAGGCTATGATATAGTGGGATTTTAAACATTATTCTGTGAGTACTGTGTGCACATAGCTTATGTTCTCACTTATGTACAAATCCGACTTAAAACATCCTCAGGAATGGAACCCATTCATAACCTGGGGTCCTCCTGTGCTGTATTTCATATAACTGGTGTGGGTATTTGAAACTTACCATTTTAATCGACATCCCAAACTTACCTCAATTTTAGTTTGGCTGAACTATTCACAATTGCCCTCCTGAACACTTGAAATCTGAACTAAGGTAAAACCCATATGCTCTCCACAGTACAGCACAGGCTGGCTGGATTCAAGAACAAGTGAGACTCAACTTGATACCCTGTCCTTTATTCACCCTATAAGACACACCATACCAATGTTTTCCTCTGTAGTATTTCTCTTCCTCATCAAGACCCAAAGATTTTCATCAGATTAACCCATCACTTCATGCATCACCCTGACAGACACCAGCTAATTCTACACACTGTACTGTACTGAGGGTGCTCAAGTCCACAATAATTCAACTGTCACATATGAAGTAGTTGTTCTCTCTTCCATTCATCAAGTATATTAATCTTTCACAATTTTGGCCTTCAGCATTTTGAAATTTGATTGACTGTATTTTGAACATGGACAATGGGACAAATATTTATAATTTTACATAAAAGTCCAAAGTAAAAAATTCCGTATAGAGTTTAGAAGTGAAACTGCTGCAGTATTTGCCAGGTGTGGATGCCTTTGGGGAAGCTTACCAAAATGGATTTCAGAGATTATCTGGTACCAAGACAGGCTAAGACTTTCTCAGGAAGAATGGGTGATGGTTAATCTGTGTTGACAAACCATCTCCAAAACTTTTTTCTTCTGAGGTCTTGGAAATTCTTGATCTAAACAATTTTGTTTATTATGTGTAGTGTCTAATGCTTCTTTCTGGACACACTCTAGACCTATTTTTGTCTCCTGCTGAGTGTGATCATGTATTAGATGATCAATTCAGCAGTCTCTGAGTGAGCTTTGGTCACTTTGGGTTTTAATGTAATGAGATCCCCTTCTTACATTACTACAATAATTATGTACCTTCAGTAACTGTGTAAACATTGACCAGACCATGATTGATCATTCTTTGTACTGGATCAAGGAGATGATTAAATTACATAATGATGTCTTCCAGTCCATTTCAGACAGTTGTTGTCCAGAGATCAAGAAGAGAATTACAGTACGAGATGACTCTCCATGGTATGATTCGTCTACAAGTTTTCTTCGTATGATGTGCTGAACGAGAGTGGCACAGGCAGCGAACAGACTGTACTAGATCATAGCATATGACTGTGCATAGGGCTATTGTTTGTTCAGTGAGGGCACACAAAGTTGAATACTTGACTTATGTAGTATTCAACTTTGTGTGCCCTCACTGAACAAACAATAGCCCTATGCACAGTCATATGCTATGATCTAGTACAGTCTGTTCGCCGCCTGTGTCACTCTCGTTCAGCACATCATACGAAGAAAACTTGTAGACGAATCATACCATGTACTGTATGCAGTTACGAATGGGCTGTTGGGCCGGAGGTCTGGAACTACTATGCTGTCTTCCACTTCAGATGCTCAATTTGCCTCAGATTTTTCCTTGTCTTTTATTACAAAAATATCACATATAAGAAGTAACCTTGATGGTGTTTCTTTAAATGAGGAATTTCCAGTTGAATTTCAACTGAGTTACACCGTAAACCTCACTAGTATTTCATCGTTTTGTCTTGTAGGGGTGAACAACATTCTGCACTACGTCAAGGACTCGAAGAAGACTTTTTGTCGTAGTGATCTTGTAAATGTATTTAAGATACCACTTGCTTATGAACATATTGCAGACTTTGTTTGTAGAATCATAAATACTTTGCAGAGGGCAATTATGTGAGATCTGAGAAACAGGCTATATTATATCCACTTTTTAAGAAACCTGGTCTTGATGCTGAACATATGTAAATTTATTGTACGGTCTCCAATCTCTCATTCTTATCAAAGATCATAGAGCGTGCTGCGCTGGATCAGTTTCTTCCCCTCTTAAGAGAGAAATAGAGTGATCTCTCTGGTCCAGTCAGCCTATAGGAAGCATCTATCAACTGAAACTGCCTTATGTAAAATTCATAAAACAATTCAGTAATAAATACTTGTACAAGAAAGTCCTCCCTTCTGGTCTTAATGGATATCTGCATGTTTTAACACGGTGGATCATCATCTGTTTCTTCAGGATCTTTGGTCGTTTAGTGTCCGTGAGAACGCACTCTTACTGCTCGGGTCTTATTTGTCAGTGCGATCTCAATGTATGATGGTTGGTGGAACCATTTCAGGCCAGGTCTCTTTGCAGTTTAGAGTCCCACAGGGATCAGTTTTGGGAACATCTTTGTTTACAGTCTATACTAGTGGACATCAGACAAAAAGGCTTGTACCGTATTGCATCTGGAAACTAACAATGCAATTCACATTAAAAAATGGAGGTACAATACTTACAAACAAAGCAAGAGATTCCTGATGTGCAGGTGCAAGACCTTCAACCTTGTTGGCATAATTCATGATGGTGTGGTCACGGCGATCCTGGTGAAGAAGGAGGATGACATCATCCTTGAGGGCAGCAGCAGCCATGATGCGAACAAGGTGTAAACGAGCCTCATCTGGGATGGTGGGATCATGAAGCACCCGGGCAAACAGGATACTGAAGTTTTCACCAAGCGCCCATGAACCTTCATCTTCAACAACATATGCTCTCAATTCCTCCATATGTCCCTGTTCTTCTGGGGACAGGAGGTGTGCACAGGCAGCCACCAGTCCATCAAACTCGACGTGAGCCTGTAAATTATAGCACGTACAACTTGTACACGATGTTGGGCAAAATACAAAATCTTAATTTATGAATTAATGGAGGCAAAATTACAAGAAGTGTTTGTACTGTAGCATAAGTAGTCAATATATGTGTTCGATAATATACAAATATATGTATAAATAAAACATAACATTAAAACAGGCAACTATGGCAGCCCCGCCCTTTACAGCAACTGCACCAATATTGTCATGCAGGTCATAGGAGCTACGGTGGTGGTGGTAGACGGAGACTGATGGTGGGTAGGTGGGGTCACCGTCGGTGCACGCAGGCGGCAGGGGGGCCTGGTGATACCCACCTTCTTGACGATGTTGGTGTAGATCACTGGTGGCTCGTACGGGCGTGCAGGGCCCAGGTAGCAGAGCAGGGCAGACTGAGGCTCTGGGGAGCCAGGGTCAGTGTGACTGTACCGTGGCACAGGCCGATAAACCACGACCGACTCCTGTGACCCATGCAGATTTCTGTTTTGGGACGCCAACAGGATTGGCGAATCCGTAGAGGGGGGTCGGTCAGGATGTGTTTCATCTCGAGGGACCGGAGATGTAGAACAGGAAGATGGGGCCAGTTCAAAGGTAGAAATAGATTCAATGGAGGAAGGAGCACGAGGAACGCGCCGCAAAAAAGATGATATGGATTCTAAGGAACAGGCACGAGAAGGAGGGATGATGCGGGGAACTACCGGGGATGAGGGCTGAGAACGGGTGGCAGGGGAAGGTGTTGGTTGTGGACACGGAGGAAAGGGAGAAATGTGGAGGTGCGGAAGTAATGAATTTTGTGATGACTGTGACTGAAGCTGAAGGGTAGAACATGAACCATATGAAAGGGATTGTGATCTGGACTGCCAGGTAAGGCAAGATTCATATGAAGTAGACCGAGAGATTCCATGCATCTGCCTAAATGCTGCATTGTTTATCTCAAAGTACTGTTGGTCGGGTGTAACTGTACGCATGGTGTCCACTGAAGACACCGAAGCTGTCGAGTTACAACGACTGAGTTCTGTGGGCGAGGAAGAGGGTTCAGGGGAGGATAGTAATTCCTCAGGAGTGGGTACACGTCCAATTGGATCCACCACATACAAGAGATAATATGAGGACCCAAAAGACAGTGCTGAGGTTGAGGAACACATGGATAAGTCTGAACCTGCTGTGGAGGACCGTGACAGTGAAGGTGATGGGGGCCTATGATTCGCACAATACGGTGGGGGGGAAGAAGTAGGATAGGATGGTGTATTGACAGGAATGGTAGGCACTGTGTGGAATGAAGGACTCGCACAATATGGTGGGGGGGAAGAAGTTCGATAGAATGGTGTATTGACAGGAATGGTAGGCACTGTGTGGAAGGAAGGCAGCGTTGATGTATCAGACAAATTGTTGTTAACATCAGAATCTTCAGATTTAGAAGAATGTGATGATGTGATGGAGCTTTTCTCTGAAGTCTGATAAGAGGAAGAGGATGAAGATAGGCTGGAAGAAGAGGAGGATAAGGATGAGGATGAGGAAGAATAAAAAAATAATGGAGAGGAGTTAGAGGAAGATGAAGAACCTAAATATAAGTCAGAACACGATGAGGAAGAAGCCGACAAAGACAAACATGGGGAAGGGCTCCGTGATCTACAAGTGGAAATCAGGTGGGACCACACGTCACAATCAGAACCACCGTCATCACTACCAACACCAGTACTCACATCCAGTTCATCTTTGAAGACAATGGGAGGTTCACGTTCAACCTCTGGCTCAGGCTGTACAGGAGGAGAGTCTCTGTCCGGGGCATCGGATCCCTCGGGAGGTGCGGGTGTGACTTCTTCGGGCAGCACTTCAGGTGTAGAGTCTGCCATCGTGTTAGATTCTGTTGTTGCTACTGTTTCTGTTTCTGTTTCTGTTGCTGTTTCTGTTGCTGTTTCTGTTGCTGTCTCTGTTGCTGTTTCTGTTGCTATCTCTGCAGCTGCTTCTGTTGTTGTTTCTGTTACCGACAATCTGTCCTGTGGCGGGGGTGTTGTTCCTCTGCTGGTTGGGGACGGCAGGCGCTCAAATGGCTCGGGTTCTGTCGATACGATCTCTCCACTACTCGAGTTCTCTACAGATGCTAAACTTGGGTTGAAGTCAGCGAGAGACTGTGTTACCTCCTGAAGTGGGTCTGATAAGATCTGGGGTGGACTCTCGCCCTCAGAGTTGTGCCGAGAGTGTGTCGCAGACTGGAGACCTGAGCAAGACGGAGAGTTTTGTTGCTGTTCTATAGTCTCCACAATACTCTGCCTTTTCCTTTTACTATCTTCTAAATTTTCTCCGCTGGAAGATTTGGATTTCTTTTTTTTTTCCTTTTTCTCTTTTTTCTCTTTCTTTTCTTTCCTGTCTTTCTTTTTCTTCTCTTTTCTGATAACTTTTTCGTTTATTGAGTTTCTGCGATCCTCGAGTTTAATTCCCTGTAGTCTGAAAGAGGAAAACACGTGAATGTAAATTTTAGAAATAAATTATATCGAACTTAAAATAAACTTTATATTCTGTCAACCATACGCTATACAATATACAGTAGTCTATTGTTAATTGGTAATACAGTACTATACAACTTTCAAAATGAGTTGTTTGTATCACTACTATATTATTTCAAACAAAATAATATAAACAGTACAGTAGTACTGTATTTTCTCTCACACTGTAGTAGTGTCCTCCCACACCATGACAGTATACCTCCTTCACTACATCATACAGTCTCTTACATACAATGTATTTAACTCCAGCATTTATTATTTTCTTGGGTTACCTTCACGATGTGAGTTGTGTGTTGTATTTTCTTTACCATTACAATAACTCTTTTATTACCTTCCTCAGTATGTTTCTTGTTTGCTCTATTTAAAGCTTTGTTTGACTGTACAGTACAGTATACAAAGTTAGTACTGTACAGTATTACAATGTTACCAGAATAAACCTAACTCATAGAGAAGTATATACACTCACTGTTTTATACTGATCCATGTTTCTATGCTCAGAACAAGGATCATATTCCTAATGTAATGAAATAAAAAATATAACTACAGGTCCACCAGACCCTAGCTGGCAATTACAATTAAAATTAATGTCAAGATGGAAGCAAAAAACAATCTCACACACACACACACTTCTGATGTTCCTTTTAGATACAATACAGCAGAGATGTAATACTGTACAGGTACAGTACAGTACTGCCAGCAGGTGAGGGCCAGAACCCATACATTCAGTGGATACAACACTCAGTGTCCTTGAACCAATGGTAGATTATATTACAACTTTTTGAATATAAATTGAACAAAAAGTTTCTACCCAGTAGTACACATACTGTACGTAGTTTATTATTCCAGTTGTAAAACAGAACACAAAAGTAAGTGTGTGTGTGTGTGTGTGTGTGTGTGTGTGTGTGTGTGTGTGTGTGTGTGTGTGCACTCACTCCAAAAGTATCTTTATGATTTTGTCGGAGACAATATGCCACAACGAACAAAGGATTTTGACAACCCAACTGAGATATTAGGAGTCGTAGTGTTCATTTTGAAATTCACCCGACCCGTTTGAAATGATACTTTTAGGAGCGAGCATACACATGCTGTGTGTGTGTGTGCACATGTACTGTACTGTAAGTATTTTGTGTGTTCATGCACTTTATGTATGTACACTGTGTTACTGAGCAGTATCTTCCCCCAGGTAGAGACTGCTAAGGCAACCTGTACACAAAAATAAGTATGACCCAAGAATTCCATCTAAATTAAAGACTTTATCTCTCCTTAGTATGATAATGGCTGACCTGACTTGGTCGATGGCGTTGTTAAGTTCTTCCAACTCACGTTCGTCGTCGTGCCTTCTTGATGTAACTTCTGTTGGGATGTAACTCTGCAAGTTGTTGTTGAAGTTTGCAAAGTTGACTTTTCTGGAGCCAGTACACTTTATATCCAGGTCCTTTAAAACTGTTTTAAGATTCTCTCCGACCGCACTGAGGAAATATTATAATGTTGTTAAGTCTTAAAACAACTGTACTGTACCAATAACATGTTTTAATTAATAATAAGAAATAAGTACACAATAATTGAACTATCCATAAATATATATTAAATGAAGCAAGAGAGCGTACCACACACACACATGTACAGGACAGGCAAATTCACATTATGAGAGTGTCTACTTTTTGCTACCTCAATATAATTATACTGTACAGTAAATATAATGAAAAAATCAGTAAAATAAATCTATACAATGAATTAAATTATGGAAATCACATGAGACACCTTGGTACAATACTGTAGTAAGAGAAGTCAACTTTCTACTGCAACTATTGTCACAGTAAATGGAGTAATGTACAGTACACATTTTTTAAACTACTGTACAGTATAGCCAAAGATTTATTGATTTTTTTAATTTGTTTCACATTAACCACTTATGTATGGAATCTCCTCTGAGTTCATTAAAATCACGTGGAGTTAGTCAAATAAAATATTAAAAGTGGCATCACCGAAGTGAAGGAGTTAACAAATAACACTGATAAAAACTGTTTTATGTAAGTCTGTTATGTCTGCCAATACATTTACATCATCTTCCAACCCTGTGTGAGTGTGTGTGTGTGTGTGTGTGTGTGTGTGTGTGTGTGTGTGTGTGTGTGTGTGTGTGTGTGTGACATGATATTAGGAAACTATTAAAATCAAATATAGAATTTCTTTTGTAGTGAAGCAAGTGAAGTAAGAGTTACACAAGTGTATGAATGTCATATATAAGTTGAGGAGAGTACAGCACTGTTGGAGGATGTCACAGTGATGGTGGCTCCTGTACAAACACAGTGACATGCACTATAAAGTAACAATACAAATGCTGAAGGATTATTATTATTTTTTTAATTTTTAAGTCAAAGACATGTCATAACTGAGCTGCAATATAATGAGTACCTGTAACTCAGCTAAGATAGTGGGAAAGTTAACTGAGATTATGATCACTGAAAAAAGAAATTGATATAACATTTTGCTCACTGTTGATGGGTTAAAATCAATAAAGGGTAATAATTAGAGCAAAGTTGTAGTAACAACATGGTAAAGATGGTCCCTGTGTGTGAAGTATTGTACACTTGACACAGATACACAATAGTCTTCTTTAAATACAAGATAAACATCTATAATACTGTATTGTTATGTCTTCTTTGTTCTTCTGTCCAATTTTACATCCATCACAAATATTGAAACAAAATGTCATATTATTACAAACATCATTACTGTATAATGAAGATATTCCATATGCTATCATCATCGTCACGCAATAAATGTCTAAAAATCAAATAATGAAAACTAGAATCTACTAAGAGTAACTAAGGTAGAGTAGAAGTTGCACATCTAAACATTAATTGACAGTGATTTAAATATTATACAAATAGAGTACAGTAAGATCTGGAATGAAAGAAGATATAGCGTACCATTAATCATGTATGTTACACAGCTCTGCCTTGTCTCTTCAGCTTGTGTGGAGGTGAAGCAGGAGAATGACACATATCACATAAGGCTCCATCAAGTAGTGTCCTTTATATGGAGCCTTGGCTGGCCAGGGTAATACAAAGCAGTTTGTGATGTGTAATGTGTTATAACCATCCATCTGGAGTATGTGAGCAGGAAGTAAAAGTGTTGTAAGCAATGTGTGACAGTGTTGAATGTAGGACGACCAAAACCACAGCAACAAGCAATCAATTTCTCTCGTAGAATTAGTTTAATACAATACTGTTATAACTTAAGTCTTACTGTAAACCGACGTGCTGATCTGTTTTTATTTTTACGCTGTAGACAACGAGATGTCTTATGATTTAATACAACTATAAACACTGTGAATATGTGAAGCAAATACTTTATTAGTTTATTGAGAAGTTTTGAAGGTGAGGCTGCAGACCACAGTGATTCACCTCACCTACTGCTCAATGTATCAAAATAGTGAGGTATTTTATAGCAGCCAAGTTATAGCTGGGTTTCCTAAACTCCAAACTTTCTCTTAATTTTAGTATGAAGGAAAAATAAAGGTAAGCAATTACTTTGACAAATATTGAACAGTAAGTTCTCCATTAACAGGACTTGTAACCAGAAATTTCCAATAACTGGATTAAGGAGAATTGTCTGGTATTGTCTGTGATGATGTCTGCTTTTCTTATGGTTATTTTAATACAAATCTGGTGTGCCAAGGTGACCTAAGAACACATGTCTGTAAATGTCCTGATACATGTGGGCCATCTTGTGTTCTGCTGATGACACGGCAGGCAGGTGGCTCACAGATGGTGGCACTAATTATAGTGTGACTTTATTCTCCAGTGGTCATCAACTGGCCCCTTCTCTTCTCTCATTCTTGCTTGTATACAGTACTCTCTTCCCCACCCCTATTCTTACTATAGCTGTGTTTTAACTAAAGTAATGCAGGTACATTTTACCCTAATTTTTGGCACATTGTGTGCAGGAAATATTGTAACTATAGAACCAAACCAGCCAGCCTTCAGGGGGCAGAGTCCTAAAGGTACACTGGTTGACTTCGTCAGAAAAGTTGTAGTAATAAAAATATTGGAGAACATTTTTCTCAATGGTTAGAATGACCATTTATGATGTAAAATACTGTATGCTGAAGAGAAGTTATAGGGTCAGTCATGACAGGAGAGGATATAAAAGTTACAGTAGCACTTAACTGGTTATCCTTCAAGTTTGTTACAATCTATGACGGGTATGAACTACAGTACAGTACAGTGAGGTAGTGGTTTCAGTGGCAGTAGAGGCTGGCTTTATAATTTGTAAAGGGGAGATAAAATTTGTATTTATTTCATCTGTATTTCTTCATATAGTATTCACCAATATTTACCTTCAAGCGCAGTATATTCAATATCCTGGAACATTGGAAGAGTAACCAGAAAAGTTAACATCCAGTTTTGGGACAATTTTGTCTGGTAGGGGAAACTTTGATGAGTAGCCAGAATACAGGTACAAGTACTGTACTTAATTAAGTACAGTACACTGACTGACCACACAACAATTCGTCCAGTTATGGAAAAACTTATTGTAAGATTTTTCAGGTACTGTACCTGCATTGAATCAGTTTTCACTGCTTTGTTTTTTGCAACAATAGTAACTTTTATTACTGTAATGACTTTCCTGGTTGTGTGAGTGAGAAAAACACCACACAGCACTACCTTCTCACCTCACATGCTACCACTTGTGGGCCACCTTCAAGTTTAGTGTGTGACCAGGTGAGCCTAACAGAGGGGCTCACCACAGTTCACTGCTCTCATCACTGGGTAGCCTTTTGTTCAGGTTGGGTGGCCCCTCCAACACACTACATTAAGTTAATTATATTAAAGATTTAAGGCTCTCATACAGGACATTAATCAGTGCTCATCATACACAGTAATAGAGGTAGTTTTATAACACCAAAGAGGTATAACTGTTCACCATTAGCTGCAGTACAGGTGAGTATTTACAGGACAATAAACCACCCAAGAATGGCCACTTTAATTCTAGTAGTAAAGAAAGTCCTCTCTGATATTTGTCTGAATTTGAGAAAGTTTAAACCCTGAGACATAAGGTTTTACAGTCTTAGTACTATACAAAAAGAAGAAAAATGCTAACTTGAATAAGATATCCATTTGAATGTCATTGTCAGTCAAATATATCTATATATATATATATATATATACTGTGTATATATATATATATATATATATATATATATATATATATATATATATATATATATATATATATATATATATATATATATATATATATATATATATATATATATATATATATATATATATATATATATATATATATATATATATATATATATATTATATATATATATATATATATATATATATATATATACACAGTATATTATATTATTATTTTGATTTTTTGTATGGTAATTAGCCCACCGGGCACAGGTCAAACGACCCACAGGGCCTGGGGAGCGAAAAAAAAAAGAACAAAAAATTGAAATACAGCCCCCCTAAAATAATGTTTATATGTTTATCGGGATTTATTGTAAATGTGAACATCCTGTGTGGTGGAAAGTGTTTAAAGTTGAGTACTGTACAGTGTGTGTGTGTGTGTGTGTGTGTGTGTGTGTGTGTGTGTGTGCGTGTGTGTGTGTGTGCGTGTCATGCGTGAGACAGTAAGAGAGGTATATTGATAACATTAGTATGGGGATGGGCCAGATTGGCGGTGGTTGTTGGGTGACCTGGAGGAGGGGCGGCCAGACACGGGGTCATTGCTGGTGATCTGCAGAGAGTTCAGCATGGGCAACAGGACCTGACCCAGCGGCCTGCATGCACATGACACACAGGTTAGTCACACAAAAACATACAAACTTCTGTAACAAATGTTTACAAGAAAACTGGTTAATTTTTGAGGTGGAACACTAAAGCAACATAAATTAGAAGTTTAAATATATTCTCAGCCTACAGTAATCTTTCTCAAAGGTGTACAATGATAATGTTAGTTTTAAATCATATTTTAATCCATTCTCATTTTTTCAAAGTTGCAGGTAATGGAGTCTGCAAGTTATTTCTTGTACATAACTGATTTATATTACTGTACTGACATCACATATAAAAAAAAAAATCATATTACTTTCATACATTTGCAAAAGTTGTCTTGTAAACTAGAAGTAAAGAGGAACTGTACAGTGTTAGATGAGACCAAAAGACAACCATGCCCTTACACAGTCCTCATATCACACCACCATAGACACAGTCTTAAAGATCCTTGTGTCAGAATCAGTACACAAGTTACTAGTACTGTACTTAAGAAACTGTATATGATTCATGAGTTACAGTACAATAAATATTTTACTGCACTACACTATAATCTTCTGTTTAAGTGTTGAGAATAAGAGCAGCTCTGTGGTGTATTGGGTTAACTCTACACCATCACTGAGGTACCTCTGTCAGTGTGGTATTATTCACAAGCTTTATCACTGTGTCTATGATGGCGAGTCTTAACCATTAGTTCTCATAATAAAGAGCAACAATCAATATACTGTACTAAAAATTATTAACATAACCACAACTGTCCACAACCTGTACAACACTACCACAACCTGTACAACACTACCACAACCTGTACAACACTACCACAACCTGTACAACACTACCACAACCTGTACAACACTACCACAACCTGTACAACACTACCACAACCTGTACAACACTACCACAAACCTGTACAACACTACCACAACCTGTACAACACTACCACAACCTGTACACCACTACCACAACCTGTACATCACTACCATAACCTGCACACTACTACCACAACCTGTTACCACACCTGTACCAACACTACCACAACCTGCACACTACTACCACAACCTGCAACACTACCACAACCTGTACAACACTACCACAACCTGCACACTACATGACACTACACAACCACAACCACATACCCCTGCACTACCACAACCTACACACACAACCTGTACAACACTACACAACCTGCACACTACCACAACCTGCACACTACTACCACAACCTGTGCAACCTGCACACTACTGTACCACCAACCTGTACAACACTACCACAGCCTGCAACACTACCACAACCTGTACAAGCACTACCACAACCTGCACACACAGCTGTGCAACACTACCTGTGTACAACCACAACCTGCACACACAACCTGTACAACACTACCACAACCTGTACACTGCACTACTACCACAACCTGTTAACACCTCACACAACCACAACCTGTACTACACACTACACTACCACAACCTGTACAACACTACCACAACCTGCAACACTACCACAACCTGCACACTACTGTACCACACCTGTACAACACTACCACAACCTGCCTACTACCACAACCTGTGCACACCACTACAACCTGTGTACAACACTACCACAACCTGTACAACACTACCACTACCACAACCTGCACACTACTACCACAACCTGTACAACACTACCACAACCTGTACAACATTACCACAGCAGTACTGCTACCACAACCTGTACCAACACTACCACAACCTGCACACTACTACCTGACCTGTACAACACTACCACAACCTGTACAACATTACCTGCAACCAGTGCACTACTACCACAACCTGTACAACACTGCACAACCTGTACCAACACTACCACAACCTGTACAACACTACCACAACCTGCACTACTACCACAACCTGTGCAACACTACCACAACCTGTACAACCACTACCACAACCTGCACTACTGCCACAGCATGTACCAACACTACCACCTGTGCAACACCACAATAGTACACTACTACCACAGCCTGTACAACACTACCTGAACACACTACTGCCAAACCTGTACAAACTACCACAGCCTGTACAACACTACCACTTGTACACCACTACCACAACCTGTGCACACCACACCACTACCACCACACCTGTGCACCACTACCTGGCCTGTACACCACTACCACAACCAGTGCACAACCTGTACACCACTACCACAACCAGTACACCACTACCACAACCTGCACACTACTACCACAACCTGTACACCACTACCACAACCTGTACACCACTACCATAACCTGCACACTACTACCACAACCTGTACAAAACTACCACAGCCTGTACAACACTACCACAACCAGTACAACACTACCACAACCAGTACACCACTACCACAACCTGTACACCACTACCACAACCTGTACACCACTACCACAACCTGTACACCACTATTCTACAACAGCCTACAACTAGAGCATTTTACTAAACATGATGAATGTTTCTCAGATCTAATAATACTTGTACTGTTAATATGATCAAAATAAAGACATTATTTAAACATGGTAAACTAAGCAGCCATAAACTCCAGGTTGTGTAAAGGATCACGACCTAAACAACACCCATAAGAGGACACATCTGCCTTACTCTCATATTTGAAATAAAGAACATTACTGTACACAACAACCTTGGTCTTTCTAACACTAACACACCAGCTTCTGTGAGTACACAGGGTTAACCTTGAAGTATAGTAGTGCTGTTAGTTGAAGGTCTGTGTGGACCACAAGACACTGTATAACTTACTGATGGTGTAAACACACACAAGCAGTACAGTACAGTACTGTGCTCTATCTTTCAAAAGTGGCCCAAACAAAATAATATTATATTTATTATAATAAACTTTGGTTGTGAATGAATTTATCTCAACATTAACTTCATGAAAACAAATTATAATTACCACAAATCTTCTGCCCTGTACTGTGCTGTGCTGTATAACTGCTGAAGGTTCAAAGGGTAGTGGTGTACAGCCACAGTGTATTGTACAGTACTGGACCAGAAAGTAAAGACTAGAGTGAGTAAGACCATCACATGAGCGGGTAAAACTTACGTGTTGAGGACTTCATCTGGAAGCTGGAGGATGTGTTTGGGTATCCCGTGGCCACACAGGAACTGAGACACTTCGTCACTGAAGTTGTTGCAGTTATGCTTGAATAAGTCGTATGCACCGGGTCTGAAGGCATTACAATATTGACTGATATATAATATTTAAAGTTGCAATTAAATATATACAATATTATTATGGTTTAACACACCAAGCTAATACAGGTCAACTATGATTAATGAATTTTGGAAGGTGCACGTTTTTTATCCATTATGCTGATCTATGGACAATAATCCTGGAGTTACAAGAGTTTTTTGTTAATCTTTCAAAACAACAGAAGATGATGAGGCGTCTGGGAATGTCCCAGAACGAGGAGAGTTAACAGTGGTGTATAGACCCTTGATATGTGTAGCCCCAGTTCTGATGATGTATTAACAAAAACTAAATACTGTACAGCACTATACAGTACTGTGCACCTGTTAAAAAAAATATCTACTCTCGGGTCCGATGGAAATTGAAATGAACAAGTAGACATAAGCAGAGATGTATCTGTTAGGTTGGTACCTCTGACCATAGAGGCCTAATGTCCTTTATCATGCAATGTTCTGTGATTTAAATTAGAGAAATAATATTCCTCTTACGTACATCACACAACCTATCATCATTTATCAACAGCACCTCAATAAGATCTATGTATGTATTCTGTAGTAGAGTCTCTATCAAATTTGGTTCTGGTACTGGAAGTTAAGTTTGGTAAGGAATATAATGCAAGATAAATGCCTGACTTTAAAGTTATTTTCTTTTAAATGAGAAATATCAGAACAATATAGATGTGCTGTATAACTGTGTAAGCAAATGAATATCCTGTATAATATTTATGAATACAGTAGAGTATGCAGATGAACAGTTATGTACCAAAAAAAATCTGCAGGGGTGAGGGAGGTGGTGCAGGGAGGGAGGGTAGGGGTGTATGTGGAGACTTGGCATCATTGCATAGAGGTGAAGGTGACAAGTATGCAGCCATGAAAAATGTTATGGCAGGAAGTAGAGGTCGACGAGGTGCACACCAACTCCCTCTACACCCTGTGATGTTACGTTGTGAAGCTCTATTTTAATAAGTAGTTAAGCACTTCATTAGCCACTTTACTTCCTGCTTCACCACCACAAGTTAAGTTCCTCTAATATGCAACTTTTTATGGTAAGCTGTGCCTGACTCATGGGAAAATAAAAACAAACAATTTGTAGAATGAAAAGAAAGTCTCTCCTTCCACCGCCACCCATATATGACGTTGTCGAGCCTCCACCTTCTCCCATGCACCGCCTCCCTCCCGAACTGCTGAATTCTTTTTGTCCATAACTGTAACTTTAAGATAAACCGACACATTCATGCTTCTATATGCACACACTATACAACCTTTCCCTGTACACCCACCAAAATAAGTTCTGCCAGTCCTCTGTCCCATACATGAATCTGGGAATCCAAGACATCAAACAATGTTAGGCCCATAGATGGTGTACTGTGTGATGTCTCGGATTCACAGGGTTCATCTATGGGACAGTGGACTGGCAGGACTTTTATTGGTGGGTGTACTGTACAGGAGTTTGCATCCATTCTTTATTAGGACTGGATTTTTTTTACTTTTGCAACACTTCGCCGACCACCTGCTTTAGTATCGACCAAACAGCTTATAATCTAACTAGGTAATTAAGGGATGCAAAAAGAGATGCCTTCAAAATTTATATTGGTCAACAGTGAATACTTTTTGACTACTTATGATGATAAATTAACATAAAAGTGAAAACAATGTGATGGAACCTACTATGAATCTCACCACAAGTCCAACTGCAGGACCATACACAGATACTATACTGTACAGGACCATACACAGATACTATACTGTACAGGACCACACACAGATACTATACTGTACAGGACCACACACAGATACTATACTGTACAGGACCACACACAGATACTATACTGTACAGGACCTACACACAGATACTATACTGTACAGGACCATACACAGATACTATACTGTACACACCACACACAGATACTATACTGTACAGGACCACACACAGATACTATACTGTACAGGACCACACACAGATACTATACTGTACAGGACCTACACACAGATACTATACTGTACAGGACCATACACAGATACTATACTGTACAGGACCACACACAGATACTATACTGTACAGGACCACACACAGATACTATACTGTACAGGACCACACACAGATACTATACTGTACAGGACCACACACAGATACTATACTGTACAGGACCACACACAGATACTATACTGTACAGGACCACACACATGATGCAGCAGGTGTTGTGTCACTGTACAGGACCTACACACATGATGCAGCAGGTGTTGTGTCACTGTACAGGACCACACACATGATGCAGCAGGTGTTGTGTCACTGTACAGGACCTACACACATGATGCAGCAGGTGTTGTGTCACTGTACAGGACCTACACACATGATGCAGCAGGTGTTGTGTCACTGTACAGGACCTACACACATGATGCAGCAGGTGTTGTGTCACTGTACAGGACCTACACACACATGATGCAGCAGGTGTTGTGTCACTGTACAGGACCTACACACATGATGCAGCAGGTGTTGTGTCACTGTACAGGACCTACACAGGAGGTGTTTGGGAGGTAGACAAGTTCAGTGTGTGCCAAGGGTTGGACACCAGCCACCATACCTAACTTTATCACTAATGATTCACACCGGTGGTATCTAAGTCCTTCATACAATGTTCCTCTAAACAGTATTGAGCTAATTCTGGCAGTTCATATGACTGTGACACAAGACTCATATGTTTACAACTACAGTACAGTTGTGTGTGTTTCAACCCTCGTAAAGCCTTTGTAGTAAAGCTAAATAATCACATCAGGTGTGTGTGTTATGATCATAATTAGTACTTCCATACATTATATTCTTTGATTATAATTATTTGTTCAGTAAGTTATCTGCCCTAGATATAAATACAGTCCACCTGTAATACTGTATATGGGTGATGTATACTGTACCTGTACTGTACCGTAAGATGTACTGTACTGTATCTGGATGTAATGTACTGTATCTGGATGTAATGTACTGTATCCATTTTTTATGATAATTATCAGTTTTTCATTTGGTATAATTTACGAGGCACTTACTTGTAGGTACCCTCGCCGAGGCCAAATATATACTCAAGGAAGAGTTGGTATGGCACTTGTGACTGTCCCAGGTCCTCAACACGGTCTGGGTCGCCCAGGATGGTCCCTCCCTGTAAATAAACACACATTAATTACTGACAGGTACTGTATGTTTGAAGTACATGGAGTGGACAAAAACCACGAACTCACTACAATTATGTTGTAATTGTCCTCAAGAAGAAAAATGTCAACTAATTATGGCCCTGTTGAAGATAATACTGTCCTGTAGTACCCAACTATTTTATAGAAATAGACAACTTAACCCAAACTAACCAAACCCGCCTTAAGCCAACTCATCCCAAAACATAACTTAACCCAACCCAAGGGCAATCCAACTCAACAGAATCCAACCCAGCCCAACCAAACCCAACCAGACCCAACCTAACTTAACTCAACATAACCTAACCCAACTCAACCTAACCTGACCTACCATATCTAGACACATTAAGACCCAAATTACTTGAGGAACATCACTTGAAACTAAGATTGTTTAGTTCATAATATCATCAGCTTTTGTAAATGATTTAGCCCCACCATCTGACATGTTCACAGAGACACAAAAAAAAGTTACACAGTACAGCTATTAAGAGCTCACGTTGTTGTTGTTATATTTTTTCCGCCAGAACTTCAATCTATTGCATGGAGAAAAAATACAAGAGTTCAATCCACTGAAAAATATTGAGTGGTAATGTGGCAACACTCTTAAGCTTTTCTAAAAATAATAGTTCTGTATTTCCTTGAGGAGGTGAGGACAACAGGGCATCACACAGACCCCCACACACAGCCCCACATAGGACCACAGGGCATCACACAGACCCCAGCCTTTGGGGACAAATTGCAGTGGGGAAGAGTAAGGTTGGGGAGGAGTGAGGTTGGGGAAAGGGGGGGGGGGGACATACCAGTACAGTACTACTTAAAAAGGCCGAGTCTTCTCTGGTGGCGCTGCCTCATCCCACGCCACACTCCCCTCCTCACGAGACAAAAATGAACTGGCTGCCTCCCTCCCCTCAGTTACCCAGGAACCTCAAAATGCCGGGAATGTTATGCTAAAGAAAACACCTTCACACCCAAGGTATGGCGCACCTTCCCGTATAGAAAATGGAGCGCGTATTCAGGGTTGCCAAAACACTGAGTTACCAAACCGTGGTGGCTAGCCCTCAAAAGGAGCAGCAAAGACCTTTAAATAATGTAGCACAAATATTATGACTTATAGCCTGGCGTTTCACTCTTCTATAACAATACAAAATATTATCGTCACTAAAAGGAATTTAAATTTAAATTATTGAAGGAAATAAAATTATTTTTTTACCAGTTTGCCACAAAATAAATCAGTGCTTCTTTTTGACCAGTTTGTTGAAAATAGTAAATATTTGTTTCTTCATCAGACACTTATACGCTAAATAGTCAATAAATGACAAAAATAAGAAAGGAAACATGTCCCCTCTTAACCAGATATGAAGTCTGACAGATTGACTGCCAGTCAACTTCTGCGGCTCTGCCTGGTGCCTGTCTGTCTGACCAGCCACTAAGCCCCCCAGTGAGAGAGTGGGAAAGGAAATTACTATAGACCTTATTTCATGCAAAATTGAAAATTACTCGATGATTGGAAGACAATAAACGAAGAGAAAAATGAGCCGAGTTATGTGCTCTCCTTTATTACCAATCCTGAAAAAAAAATCAATATTCATTCATAAAGACTGCTGGAAAAAGAGGTGATTTGGAGGTGCCGCTGTTTCCTTTTTTCTTAAATATCCCAATTTTAGGCAAGTAGCCCAACTGGGCGGGTAAACCGCGGGTTTGGCAACACTGCATGTAGTGCCTCCACAGGATAACTCCGTTCTTGGGTTGGTTTTAAGATGAGGAGACGGGATAAAACACGGGAATGTTATCACTTAAAACATTATGACCTGTTATCTAATAGTACTGTGTTAAGACATTATTGTTATATAACCACATAATATCCTCCCTCTATCACGGTATTTGCCACACCTACAGCACCACAATAGTGCCACACCTACAGCACCACAACAGTGCTAAGCACCTATATATACCTGCCAAGAAAATACACCACAGCAATTAATAAATAGGCTACACCTATATACTACATGAAAGTACACTCAATAGTAATTACACAAACCCACAGCACCACAACAGTGAGGGTGAGGAAAAGGCAAAGGCACTAAAAATGTTCCTGAAGTTGAAATTTATAATGAAGGGAAAAAAGAGATGGACTAGATGTGTCCTTCTCTTCACTAATTTTCTGGGTGGTGCACACACACACACACACACACACACACACACACACTTCATCCTTGACCACCGAAGGGTCAAGACGTACCTGGCGCTCCTCTGGCAGCAGCAAGGTCAACTGTTATGTTGGCCATACCAGCTCCCTCCCCTGAACCCTCCTCCCCACCGGAATATCAACAAGTTCTCGCCAGAAGTTACAATTTTATTTAGGAAAGGAATGGAACCAGTGTTGAACAGAGGTGAGCAGTGGTGAACAGTGCTTAAGTCATTGAGAACAACTCAACAGTAACAGCTGAGTAGTACCCAAGCTAACCTTCACAGTGAGGTCCCAGGTACCAAGTGATAACTGCCTGTGAGGCCCAACAACAACCAGCGATGTGTTAATCCGTTTACGATGGGAAGGCCTGGGACCACACCTCACTCATATAACACCATCTGTGAGGGAATTGCTACACCACGTGATGCCCCTCATAACACCATCTGTGAAGGAATTACTACACCACGTCAGGCCCCTCATAACACCATCTGTGAGGGAATTACTACACTACGTCAGGCCCCTCATAACACCATCTGTGAGGGAATTACTACACCACGTAAGGTCCTTCATAACACCATCTGTGAGGGAATTAATACACCACGTAAGGTCCCTCATAACACCATCTGTGAGGGAATTATTACACCACGTGATGCCCCTCATAACACCATCTGTGAGGGAATTATTACACCACGTGATGCCCCTCATAACACCATCTGTGAGGAATGGACACACCATGTCAGGCCCTCATAACACTATCTGTGAGGGAACGACACACCACGTCAGGCCCTCATAACACCATCTGTGAGGAATTCATTACACCATGCCAAAGCCTGCACACCATCTGTGACTACACCACGTCAGGCCCCTCATAACACCATCTGTGAGGGAATTACTACACCACGTGATGCCCCTCATAACACCATCTGTGAGGGAATTACTACACCACGTCAGGCCCCTCATAACACCATCTGTGAGGGAGTTACTACACTACGTGTTTGCTGTTCAACACCTACAATAATCTGTATGTTCACTGTATGTTCCTTCACCTTTCTCTAATGAAGGCTCTTGTTAAACCACCAATGTATGTAATAAGTCATTTATGTCCAATGTATATTTTCAGCCGTCGGGCTGCAGAACTTTTTCAATAAACCATTAATTATTATTATTATCAATATTATTACACACACATAACACAACTATTAGTTCACATATGACCCAGGTGTGGAGGCAGAAAACATAATCCTGTAATATATAAGAAGCAGCAGCAGACGGTCGGTGGTGTAGCGAGGCGTGGGGGGTGGCGTGTGGGGGGTGGCGTGTGTGGGGGGTGGCGTGTGTGGGGGGGGTGGCGTGTGGGGAGTGGCGTGTGTGGGGAGATGGCAATGTGGGGGGGGTGGCGTGTGGGGGGTGGCGTGTGGGGGGTGGCGTGGGGGTGGCGATGTGGGGGGGTGGCGTGTGAGAAGAATTGGCGTGTGGGGTGGCGTGTGGGGTGGCGTGTGGGGGTGGCGTGTGGGGGGTGGCGTGTGGGGGTGGCGTGTGGGGGTGGCGTGTGGGGGGGTGGCGTGTGGGGGTGGCGTGTGGGGGTGGCGTGTGGGGGGTGGCGTGTGGGGGTGGCGTGTGGGGCGTGTGGGGGTGTGTGGGTGCGTGTGGGGTGGCGTGTGGGGGGTGGCGTGTGGGGTGGCGTGTGGGGGGGTGGCGTGTGGGGGGTGGCGTGGGGGGGTGGCGTGTGGGGTGGCGTGTGGGGGGGTGGCGTGTGGGGAAATTGTGGCGTGTGGGGAGGTGCTCCCTAGGAAAACTGCCAAATGTTACCCCCTCCCAAAGTCACTACTCTTGTACTCTCTCCTCTTCTACCACTGACCCCCCCCCCCACACCTGAACCTCTGCCGCCATCCACCTACACTGATTATGTCTTCATGAACACCTGATTTAACACACACACACACTTTTGTAAGATAGACAACAATATGTGAAAGAGAGACAGTTCTTCAACTGCCATTGTTGTAAACACAAATATATATATTTTTTTTTAATTGTAAAGAGATTTTTTATGACGAGAAAAACACAAACTGGGTGAAGGAAGGATCTTTAGTGTGTGTCTATAGTGGTGACAGTACAGTACACTACATTACACTACAGTACACTACAGTACAGTACACTACAGTACAGTACACTACATTACACTACAGTACACTACAGTACAGTACACTACAGTACAGTACACTACAGTACAGTGCAGTACAGTACACTACAGTACACTACAGTACAGTACACTACAGTACAGTACACTACAGTACAGTACACTACAGTACAGTACAGTACAGTATAGTACAGTACACTACCGTACACTACAGTACAGTACAGTACACTACAGTACAGTACACTACAGTACACTACAATACAGTACACTACAGTACAGTACAGTACAGTACAATACACTACAGTACAGTACACTGCAGTACACTACAGTACAGTACACTACAGTACACTACAGTACAGTAAACTACACTACAGTACACTACAGTACAGTACACTACAGTACAGTACAGTACAGTACAGTACAGTACAGTACACTACAGTACAGTACACTACAGTACAGTACAATACACTACAGTACACTACAGTACAGTACACTACAGTACAGTACACTACAGTACAGTACACACTACAACACTACGCATACAGTACACTACAGTACAGTACCCTACAGTACCAATTACACTCCAGTACACTACAGTACAATACACTACAGTACAGTACAGTACTACAGTAGAAATTACTACAGTA